ACAAGTAACCTTGGATGTCCACAAAAAGTCCTCTGTCATGGTCATATATGCATTGGCATCTATGTTACCAGCCAGGGGGCCCGGGTTGCCTCAGATTGGCCTGGGTGGCCCGACCGGGCCAGGTCCGGGCAAAGTCTGGGTCTAGGTCCCGGGCAGTCCCAGCGCCACAAAAAAAAAAAAGAAAAAGAAACTGGAAAAAATTATGTCATGCGGAATTGCAAAGTTGCAAACCAAACATCGTTTGCTTGAGGGTGACCACAAAATTCGCTATGGAATCTGAAATAGAACTTCCCGCCATAAGGGGGAGGAGCGTGAGTGGGTACATTTTGTAAGCTCTTCTGACTTGCCGGGGGAATAGGAACCGGACTGATGCTCCCCAGAATGGAAAAGGAGCCAGAACCGTAAGGTTTTGTTTAAAAAAAAAAAAAAAAAAAAAGAACATAAAAATAAAATACTTAATTATATCATATGGTTCATACCCCTTTAAGCCCCTTCGAGCCTTTTCGAACCCTGCTTATACTCCATAGACACCCTTTTCGGTGGGATATCAGCAAGCTCAAAGATAAGCCCGGGTTTGGGCACGTCTCAGTGGGTGCAAAATTGCTCCACTGCCCAAGAAAAAAAAAGAAAAAATTGACCCCCTTTTCGGTGTCGCCTGGGTATCCCGGGCGGGTCACCCCCCGTGCAAGTGCCGCGCAAACAATTTTTTTTTTTTCCCCCCTATTTCGATGGCTCCTTTCTCTTGGTGGGGAGCTGGACCTGCTGTAAACCGGGTCCAGCGTCCCAAACACAAAAATGTTCTGTAATCTCTGACTTCAAGTGACAGCGTAGTAGGCAAATAAGACCTCTTCGTCCTTAGGCACCAGAACATCTTGCCCTCCTAGCCCATCAAGCCTACAACCATCCTTCTTCTGAAATACCTTTTGAGTTCCACTAATTCAATGCTAGTGACTACATCAAGTAGTTCGTGATAGGTTGCTCGGACAACTTATCATGGACAAAACAAACTGATCGTCCCGAGCGTCCACGGAATTTGCTATGGAATCCGAAAAAAATAAAAATAAAAAAATCATACGGTTCGTTCACCTTTACGCCCCTCTAAGCCCCTTCGAGTCCTTTCGAGCCCCACTTATACCCCATAGTCACCCTTTGCCTGATGTCACCAAACCCCAAGATAATGCCGGATTTGGGCACGTCTCAGTGGGTGAAAAATTGCCGTACTGCCCCCCCGCCGCATAAAAAAATGAAAGGTTGACCCCATTTTTGATGTCGCCCGGGTACCCTGGGCAGGTCACCCCCTGTGCAAGTTCGCCCGGGTACCCTCGGCAGGTCACCCCCTGTGCAAGTTCGCCCGGGTTGCTTGGCCGGGCGACTCTGGTAACATAGATTGGCATGCGCCGTTGAATGTAACGCTCAATCAATTGAGAAGAATTGAAGACTGGCGGTGAAGAAGATTCTGAGACACTAGACAGAGATACAGATTCTCACAACCTGCCTAAGCGCCTCAACCTGAGTAGATGGTCATTCAGGTATACAATAGAAGGTCACATTGTCATGTCACCAGCGGCCATTACTCGCATTTGGACTACTTTGGATGAATGTGTCCGTAGCCATGGTCGGATGCATGAAGGGAAGTCGTAGCTGTGACTTGTGGGTATGGTTCAAATGACAACCTAGAAACTGCCTCAAGAAACAATCTACCGAGTAAAACAGCCTGGTAACTGCTTAAACCACCAGTATGTTTCCAGGTATGTTTTTTCCGACACGGAAGGCCATTACTTGCATCTGGGCTACTTTGGATGAATGTGGCCGTAGCTACTGTCAGATGCATCAAAGGAAGTCGTAGTTGCGAGTATGCTCCTAAGTGACAGTAACCTAGGAGCTACTGCCGGATGCATCGAGGGAAGTCGTAATTGTCAGTATGCTCTAAGTGACAACAACCTAGGAACTGTTCAAGAAACAATCTAGCAAGTACAACAGCTTAGTGACTGCTTAAACCACCTGTACTTTTTCCAGGTGCGTTTTTTTCCGACGGGGCCGTTTGCGCGCCACGTCTTTCGGGGCTTGGCCTACCAAAATGGAAAGGCTGGGGGCGCCAGTCGAGAAGGATTCTATTTCGCGCCTGCGTCGGTTCGACAAGAAGTGGTGCGAGGTAAAAATCTGCATTTGGAGAGGAGGCTCGGAAAGTACAGATGGTTTAAGGACACAATCTGGCGAGTTCCCGTAGTGCTTGAGAAGAACCTCTATAACCCAAGGATGAATTCAGCCCATGTGGCTGAATGGTACTCACATTTATCTTTTAGTAAACAGGTCATCAGCTCACATCCTGATGGAATCAGGTAGATAAAACAATATCTACCCACTTGAAAGAAAAAGGAGAGGTAGCTATGCTTGCAGGGGTCCCCTGTATAGGCTTAGGAGTAGTAGTAGGTAGATAGTGAGAAAGAAAAGGGGAAATAAAAAGAAGAGAGGGGGAGGGGGCAGTCTAAGGTATGGATGTGGCCATCAATAGCGAAAGCCTCACCTGCCCGTTTGCCACACCAGCGAAGCTGCAAGCAGTGTTTGTGGTGTGATATATATATATATATATATATATATATATATATATATATATATATATATATATATATATATATATATATATAACTCCGACGAAACAGTTTGTC